TCGGGAATCGAACCCGGGTCTTCGGCGTGACGAGCGAACGCTTTAACCACTAGGCTACCCGACCGCCCCTGGCGTTGTCTGAAGACATTTTCCACTTTGATTAAACCAACAGTTCTGGAGTTGGTGGTGGCAAACCAAGCGTCATGACCGCAGCGCGCATCTGTTTCGAGCCAATAGCCAGCATATTCTGACATGGTTGAGAGACGTTATTTTACGGTAACTCTCTACAGGTGAGGTGAAATGGGGGTTAACGTCGCCTTCAAGATTATTGCACTCATATAGCGACGTGTGTGCAGGTGTGACTGCTTGTCCAGACTTATACCTGTTTTATAGTGCTAGCCCACTGAGGCACCATGCCACAGTTTAACATGGACTCCCCTCTCAGACAATATACTTAGACAGTACACCGGCCACCGCTTGTTTTTTATCCCCTTAATGCCAAGCGTCAGGCAGGGTAACAAGATGTACCATCTTGTAACGTCTCTGGGGTATGACGCGGCCTGGTTTCGAACCCACGACCTTCCGCTCTCCGGGCAGACGCTCTGTCCACTTGACCACGGATGCTGTCTATGTTTATAGCAAGAGAGGAGAATGAACAGATTGGGGTTGGGGCTGATTTATGTTCGAACATGTTATTACCATTGACATGAATATACGTGTTCCTGATGTTCCTGATGTTCACGTTCATAATAAAGTAGCGGTACCTTCGTACGGAGAACTTGTTCACTCACATAAGGTCACAATACATGTCATGTAACTGTACTGGGTGAATCTGCAATCCTAATGGTGTATTAATCATGACTCCTGTGGAAGGGACTCTTGACAGGAACACGGAGGAAATGGCCCCTTGTTTTCCCCTTCTGTGTCGTGTCAGGCCTCCCTAGTTTACGGCCTGCAGTGTCCAAACCATGATCGTAATTAAATCAGATACTTGGAAGGACACTGGTGCCTTGGCTTCCACTGGGAATATTTACGATTATACCCTAGACTTAGATCACATTACAGAGGAATTAGCTTTCCCTGAAAAATACCATCTAATCACTGCAGCATCTCATGCAAGAAATTATCTTTGCTACTCCTCGAAGGAGACTCTTTTTATATTTTATCGTTTACAGATTACCCTCAGTTGATCAGAATGAAAATAAATGTGTGCACCTGAATTTGTTTTATCTTATGGGGAATGACATTAATGGCGGTTATTAAGTGTGGAGGCAAACTCTTTGTAGATTAACAATGCTGATTGTACAGTAAGAAGCGGCTTCTCTTGGGGAAACTCTGTCTTGTACCTTCAACGTAGCCAGTGATCATCAGATAACAATATATTTCGTTGAATTTGGTAGACATGACAGGATTTCCGTTATATCACAGCATGTCAGCTTGATGTGGGGGGTCAATATAAAACCCATGACAAACCTGTAAACAATCAGGCAATTCAAATCCATGATCATGGTTTCTGACGTGGCCAAGGGACGCAACTCTGCACAGCTAATTGTTGCGCCTCAGATGACAGGGCCAACCAGCTTTCTTTCCCCCAAGTCTAATCTATTCAATCATGAATATTCCAAAGACTTATTTGTTAGAAATCTTGCCATGATAGTATCACGAATAAAAAACAAAACTTGGAAAACAATGTTAATTGTTTATTCTTTGTAAAACAAGAGTCAATTTGAAAATACTGTAAAAAATGTAACAACCCAATTTGCAAACAAAACAGTGCATGGCAACACTCTTCTGAATACGAAGTTACAACATATACTGACTGGAACCAACAAATAATACACACACACATAGGATGGAGTAATAAGATTCCATATCCTCCATGCTCAACACTGCAAAACAATACTAAGATGTAACTCTGCAAATGTAATGATCACAGGCTGTACTGACATATTCTAGTGTTTTCTTTGTTTTGATTACTTGGTTTAGACATCAACCAAACCAAAACTGAAAAAATTAAGAAGTGTTTTTCTCTTTATTCTCTATTCATAGTTCAGCAGAAACATAGAAAGCAGCTGCAATTGGCAAGTGAAGATAGAGTTATCTGCCCCATGTCATTCAAAGATCCACTGCAGCCTTCCTCTTTCATGGTGTTTTTTCATCCTGCTGACCACATCTTTATTTCGTTTGTTTGTTGTTTAACGCGGCACTCAGCAATATTCCAGCTGTATGACGATGGTCTGTAAATAATCGAGTCTGGACCAGACATTCGAGTGATTGACATCATGACTACGCCTTTAGGGGGTGAGATGAGTGACAGTGAATTAACAAAACCAATGGTATGGTATCAGCTACCTTTAAATGTGACCAATAGTAACGGGAACTTCTAAAGGGCGATACAATCTATATTCTTTTTTAAGGAGAGAATAGATGATTTAGAATGTTGACTCCTGAAACAGCTACAAATGTTTCTTTCACACATTTCACAATTACATATGACTTCTGTCAAATGAGAAATAGTGATAAACCTTCCATCTTTGTATTCTAAATGGTTGGTCATTTGTCATGGAACTGTAACAACACAGCAGCAACACTGGGCTGGAGATTCTGTTCCTGGCAAACGTCCATGTTCATGGCAGTCATAACAGGGTCTTCCCACTTTCCCCATCATGTTTTGTCCCCCTAAGGAAAATCAATGAAGTGTGACAATCCCCAGGAACGAAAGTTGTTGTATTGAAACAGTATCCGGGATGAAATTATATAAATAGATGTTAATTTAATTATATATTTTTTGTTACTTTCCCCAACTCATGTCATGTTGTGTCATTTTTTTCTTCATCATACACACATATCACTTAGTTATTTTAGATATTAAATATACATTGGTTATTCACATTTATATCATATAGTTGTTTATAATCGCATATCTTATATCACATATGTACATTACAGTACATAAGTGTACAGAATACAACAAAATGGAACACCATCATCAAAACACATAAGGGAATCCATGCCAAAAGTTATTATTCATTTCTATAAACATGGCGATGGAAACAAATGTTAGAGAGAAACATTGAGTGTTTGTTCAATGCCAGAAGGGGTGGACATTGTTCAAAACTGCAGTCAGCATTATTCCAGCTGTATCAAGATGGCTTGTAAACCATCAGTGTACAAATAGATCAATGGCCAACGGAGTCAGGGTTCGATGACACACTATCAACCAAGTATGATCTCCTGATCCTCTTAAAGAAGGATGTGATGTGAGCCTATTCTCAAAGAAAGAAGACATCCGCAAGTTATATCTATTTATTTGTTTGCTGTTTAACACTGCACTCAGCAACATTTCAGAAATCTGGACCAGATAACCCAGTGATTGATATGATGAGCATCAATTAATGCAATACGATCCAATCAACAAAGTCAACTAGTCTGACCTCCCAATTGTTTTGTTGCCTCTTACAACAAGCACAGGTTACCCGGAATGTCCGGGAGGAGGATGCAAAGAGGTTGTAAAGGTAACCCATGAACAGCAAAGAAGACACAAAGATGTTGTGACATGAAAAGACGAGGATATCATCCAGGTATTAGGAGACATCAGCAGAGATTACATACATAGGGAACAAACATCACTGCAACAGAAGGGATGGAAGCAACGTAACACTGACACAGTCAGCAACAATAGGAAGCTTACAGGATACAGCGACCATGAAAGTTATTGTCAGAAACCATAAAGATATACAAACAGTTGTAGAACTTACAGGATACAGCGACCGTGAACATTATTGTCAGAAACCGTAAAGATATACAAACAGTTGTAGAACATGAAAAGGGCAAAGGTCACATTTTTCTTTCTAAGTTTGTGTTTCATGGAGACAATGAATTGATTGTATCAGAATACTGAAGACATGATGCAGCATATGTAAACTGATGTTATGCATGATTGTACAACACATTACATATATATAGCATGATTGTACAACATACTACATATACATACAATGTTTGTACAACACATTACATATACATAGCATGATTGTACAACATATTACATATACATAAGATGATTGTACAACACATTACATAGCATGATTGTACAACATATTACATATACATAGCATGATTGTACAACATATTATATATACATAGCATGATTGTACAACATATTACATATACATAGCATGATTGTACAACATATTACATAGCATGATTGTACAACATATTACATACATAAGATGATTGTACAACATATTACATATCATAACATGATTGTACAATATATTACATATACATAGCATGATTGTACAACATATTACATACATAACATGATTGTACAACATATTACATATACATAGCATGATTGTACAATATATTACATATACATTAGATGATTGTACAACATATTACATATCATAACATGATTGTACAACATATTACATATACATAGCATGATTGTACAATATATTACATATACATAACATGATTGTACAACATATTACATATACATAGCATGATTGTACAATATATTACATATACATTAGATGATTGTACAACATATTACATATCATAACATGATTGTACAACATATTACATATACATAGCATGATTGTACAATATATTACATATACATAACATGATTGTACAACATATTACATATAACATGATTGTACAACTTATTACATATACAAAACATGATTGTACAATATATTACATATACATAACATGATTGTACAATATATTACATATACATAGCATGATTGTACAATATATTACATATACATTAGATGATTGTACAACATATTACATATCATAACATGATTGTACAACATATTACATATACATAGCATGATTGTACAATATATTACATATCATAACATGATTGTACAACTTATTACATATACATAACATGATTGTACAACATATTATATACACTTTGCATGATTGTACAATATATTACAAATCATAACATGATTGTACATCTTATTACATATAACATGATTGTACAACATATTACATATCATAACATGATTGTACAACTTATTACATATACATAACATGATTGTACAACATATTATATACACTTTGCATGATTGTACAATATATTACAAATCATTACATGATTGTACATCTTATTACATAGCACTAATAGCACACAATGAAGTATCACAATAATGATACATTGTTTCACTGAGCTGGAAATGGTTCCAGCATGAGAATATCAACAATTCTTCTCTCAAAGCTTATACAAATTACTATTAACATTGAACCAAAGTAATTTGCATACTATTTAATATCCACATTCATATATATTTACCTTTACTTTAGCTGCCAGACCTACTTGGAACATCAACCGTTGCTAAGTAACACAAAACTGAGGCATACAGAATCGGTGAAGGAACTTTAGGGATCATCGATCATAAAAAATTTGTTTACAGTTATTGAATAAAAGGCAGAAATCAATGGTATACATGTATATACTTGTGCTTAAATTCAGGATAATGAAGATTCACATAAGGAATGAAAAAGGGACACTTTCTCCAATAAACATACAGACATACCATGGAGTATTGATGGCTGATTACCAAGCACTAGACCTATACCTCATCTTTTGGATAAGGGTGGAAGGGTCTAAATGAGTGAGTGAGTGAGTGAGTATGGTTTTACGCCGCTTTTAGCAATATTCCAGCAATATCACAGCAGTGGACACCAGAAATGGGCTTCACACATTGTACCCATGTCGGGAATCGAACCCGGGTCTTCTGCGTGACGAGCGAACGCTTTAACCACTAGGCTACCCGACCGCCCCGGGTCTAAATGAAACAGATCAGTAAACATTAGTAATGTCTAGAATTTCCTTTCCTTATCCTCAGCAGATAGAAAATCCACAGAAACACTGGACAAGCTTAACTTCTAGATGTTGAATTTTGTAGCTAAAACAAATACTTGGATTCATATAAAACTGGGAACCATGAAACTCTGTAGCTCACCTGCACTTGTTGAGCTTTTGAATCCTGAGTCATACTATAGAAACAGGATATGCAACACACGCTTCTGAACAATGTCAAAGGTCAAACTGGTAAAACTGTGCAAATAAACAAGGACAGCTTAACACAGATTATTGGTAGACCACAAACTGACATTTTCAGTTTGGCTGCCACGTTTAGAATCAGATCTAAATTCTGTCATAATGTAAGTTTTGGAGATAGCATTAGGCTGATACTAAATACACACACTGTCAGTTTCATCAACAAGTTTCTCTGAGGTACAAACAATGTGGGAGCACTAGACTGTGGAGATCACTGTAGGGTAATAATATCAAAATAAACCAATGTCATCAATCTTTAATAGGATAGATGAAGAAATGAGTCTGTAATGGGCAATTTTGCTGTCAAATGTCCTCCATCCTTAAATATCAGATCATAATTGTTGTCAGACACACCATCACTGAACTTATCCATGCAAAGGATAAGGGTCAGGAATGAATTAGCAGAGATGTAAAAATGTTTAAATACATAATGGGCAGATGGACAATGGAAAGAGGCAGATGACAGACAAAGTGCTTTGGAATGACCTTACATGAATCTTCAAAGGTGAACTTCAAAATTGCTTCTACTATGAAATTATGACAGTACTCTGTTCTGATTGGTCAGTGAGAGGTTTCAAATCACAAAAACCACTTCTGATTTCAATTTCAACATATATGACAGCTGTACCACCGTGTAAGCTAATATTCAAAGAAAAGTCATCCTTTCTCAGTCATTGTCAGTATTTTAAACAATATGTACAATTACAGCTCATAAAATGCATGTTTTGTTCTAAAGTCAACATAGCATGGTTAAATCTACTTGTAACAAAGCTCTACATTGAAAACACGGTCTGCTTATCTAAACAAACATATCTGTGTCACACATATTTAATGTGTTTTTGTTTTTTTGTTTTCTGAAATCAAGCAAGTCAATCACAAACAATCTATTGAATGAACTGCCCCAAACATCAAGAAACATGTATTTACACACAAAAAACTTATTCAAGATAGTATTGGTAGGAATGCAACTAAAAAACAGCACTTTCATACTCTTTACTTGTAAGACAACTGTCAGTCTAAAGAATGGACATCATAGACACCTAATATTCCATGTTGGACAATGATATGTGCAATGAATTTAACAATCTTGCAGTGTAAGAGAACACTTGCCTTAACTAAGACACAAAACAAATCTCAAATGGTATATGTACATAACACACAACTTCAGAAAAAAAGATAAATAAATAATAACATGGATTTCATTTCACCAAACATTTCAGTCATTCAAATACATGTATTACAAAATCATTTTCTTTAGCACAATGCCAATGGATTATTTTAGGAGTTTTCCTGTTTTGTACACATGGACTCTCAACAAATACTGACACACATGAGTAAGATGGGACTAACTTACGTTTAAACATGATGTATCGTCTTGATAGACAGCAGCAAAAATCAATATACCATGGCAGACAGAGGGTATACGTGCTACTGTATGGCTACACTGTTCTTCTTACATTAAATTGGCCAATCAGGACTCCTTTAACAAAGCAATCACAACACTGTGTTCTATAAATCCCATGCTGTAACAGCAACATTGCTTTGTGGAAGTTGGTCCAGGTGCATAGCCCTCCACGTATCACCAAAATGTACAGAATCTGATCACTAACAACTAGGAGCTTTAAATTACAAGGGATATTAAGAACTACACAATCAGATCCCTCATATACAATATGCTCATACCATTTCAATTACCTATGTCAACATTTACTTAAAATATGAACACCTAAAAATAACAATATCCTTTTATCCTTTCATGTTTGCTGTTGTAAACATTTCATGTCTTAACAGAATATAAATCTTAGATGAATAGACAAGAACATTTCTTCATACAAGAAACAGGAGTACCGGTATGTAAGGGATGCCACATTTAGCCTGCAAGATAAGAGAACCATGATGAAAGTCTTAAGTAATCTGCAACGTAGTTTAACAAACAGGAAGATATGAATTGAAATATTCTACATAAATCAGTTTTTCAATATCCTACTGACAGCATATTTGAGTACAGGCTTCGGGCTCTTCAGTGATTGCACGTAAATATACATAATATCAAAAGGTTCCTCACAACTCACAATATACAACTCTGAGATTCAATGAATATGTTAGATTCATAACAGATGCCAAAGTGGAATAGTGTCATCATTCTACCCCTACATGATCTACGGTATCTTGAAGAAATGTGGAACATTTGTTATATCTTTAACATTGATGGTAATGGTGTGGCCGCCTTCAATTGGTTTATTCCCACTGCTGCGCCATTTTCCTTTCGGGAGATACACACTACGAGTTTTCATCCCTTCGCACAGCACAGGTGCCACCATAAGAACATCCCCCACCATGAACTGATCATCTATGTTTTGTGCAACGGGATCTTCTGGTTCCATCCACCAGACTGGTCGTATAATGGGGTCTCCCTTCTGATTCTGGGCAGCGGTCTCTATGTACGTCAAAATACTCTGTCGTAGTTTGAGGGCACTTTCCAACAGATCCTCCACATCATCCTCGGACAGAATTGATAACGTTGGAATTCGTATTCCAGGGAAAAATGCAGCTAGCTGTAACCATCGAGCAAATAATTCCTTCGTGAGTTCTAGTTCAGCTAATCCATCAAGAAGAATATTGGGGTATCCGCCCATTCCATTCTGTAGAGTGAGGGGGATAACTGTGTTGAAGCATTTGGCTCCATTGATTTCAAACAACTCCGCATGGATTGATGTGAACACTGATTCCGGGGTGAATCCCGCCACATAATCCAAAACAACTGACGTATTCATTGCTGTAACAACTTCAGCAAATAGACGAGGGTAGTCCAGGAATGTGACATTCTTATCCATATATGTCACAAGTCGTGGGATCTCAATGTGTAGGAGTTTAAAGCCTGCGATGTTGTAGTCCTGCACTAGTTGTTCAAGAAGCCCTCTGTACCACTGAATGGCGTCAGGGTTAGTCACATCTAACACCGCACCTTCTTTCCCTCGCCACTTTATCATTTTGGTAACAATATCCATTTCATCACGCAAGAAGTAATCATTATCCATACCTTCCATGAAATGTTTAGATCTATATGTGAAAAGTGTTGACACAGGCATCAAGACCTTACAATCAGTTCCGGACAGATCGTCCAACAGTGTTTGAAGCTTCTGAAGCTTCCTAGAATTGAACTGAAGGTCCCCCGTCTCATTCTCCCAGTCCCAGAAAATTTCCACATAACTACACTGGGTCTTAGAGGCCACTAGCTGGTCTCTCATCTGTGGAATGTCATCCTCTGACAGAAGTGCACGGATAGGGTTGGGGATAATTTTACCAACCTTCGGTCCTAAGTCGTCACCATAATTTTCTCGAATATGCTGCTGAGACTTATGGTATGCATCTTTCATATCCGTCCCACGACAGATGGTGTACTTCAGGAGGCTACCTCCCAGACCAACATCATCGAACGCAAACTCAGACAGCATACAGAACTGCTGTTCCTCCGTTGTGTTGACAGATATCAAGAAAGGAGTGTTGCTGTCCACAAAAAGGGCAACTCCTTTTGAAGATAACCACATTGGAATACGATTTCTCTTTTGACCTACTGGATATTTTGGATAAAATGTAGCATTTTTTATATTTAAATTTGACATTGGCCATATGCCATGTTTATCAGTAATTAATCCATACCATTTAAAGCCAAGTAAATAGTAACAATCTTCAGCTTTGAAACCATCAGACAAGCCTTTCCACTCTAAGGTATAACAAGGCAGAGTTTCATTATCATCTTTAGAGAAGTGTAGAGTTGCCATCTTCCGCCACAGCAGACAATGCATGTCATACTCCTCGCGGCGCTCGTCCCAGCAGTAATGGTAAGATGTGGCCTTTAGATGCATGCCAAGGTCACCATACATTATTGTGTCTTCATTGTTGTTCTCCAACTCCAGCGTTCGCATCTTCACTGTGAAGGTAAAGGACCCATCAAGCTTGACGGCTGCGACGTTGTCCTTGTGAAACAACCAGATTGCAAAGACACCAAGTGCTATGATACCAAACATGAAATAAACGGCCACTTTCATAATCCGCCGTTTCCGGCGCTTGCTCTCCTGGGCCTGCACAGCCTGAAACAAAAGAAATACCGGAAATTACAATGTAGATCAATATGCCAAAACAATGTAGATAGATAAGAGACAAAGAAGAGAGATCAAGGGCTTTGTAGATAGATCAAGGACATTGTAGATAGGTCAGGGACATTGTAGATAGGTCAGAGACAAAGAAGATAGATCAAGGACTTTGTAGATAGGTCAAGGACATTGTAGATAGATAAGAGACAAAGAAGATAGATCAAGGACTTTGTAGATAGGTCAAGGACATTGTAGATAGGTCGGGGACATTGTAGATAGGTCAGAGACAAAGAAGATAGATCAAGGACTTTGTAGATAGGTCAAGGACGTTGTAGATAGATCAGGGACATTGTATATAGGTCATGGAAATTGTATATAGGTCAAGGACATTGTAAATAGGTCAGGGACATTGTAGATAGGCCAGGGACAGTGAAGATAGGTCAGGGATCCGGACATTGTATATAGGTCAGGGACATTGTAGATAGGTCAGGGACAGCGTAGATAGGTCAAGGACATTGTCGATAGGTCAGGGACATTGTAGATAGGCCAGGGACAGTGAAGATAGGTCAGGGACATTGTATATAGGTCAGGGGCATTGTATACAGGTCAGGGACATTGTATATAGGTCAGGGACATTGTAGATAGGTCAGGGACATTGTATATAGGTCAGGGACATTGTATATAGGTCAGGGACATTGTATATAGGTCATGGACATTGTAGATAGGTCAGGGACAATGTAGATAGATCAGGGACAGTATAGATAGATCAGGAACATTGTATATAGGTCAAGGGCATTGTAGATAGGTCAGGGGCATTGTAGATAGGTCAGGGGCATTGTAGATAGGTCAGGTACAAAGGTGATAGGCCAGGTACTTTCAGTGAGGTGAGCTAAGGATGTTCTTTTAAAAATGTCACCTTCACGCCAATGACGACTTAACATATGCTATTATATATGTATGATATGTCAGATATTCTCATTGATATTTGTTTTAAAACTCACACACCAAGAATAACCTCTTTCTGTAACATGAAATGACTCACCCATAACATTTAACTATTACAAGAAACTGGTGACCTTCACCTGATGCTCAGTTAATATCAAAAGGTCACCCAGATAGATAGGTCATGGACATTTTCAACAGACTGACACTGCAGATCAATATAAAGGGTCTCTATTAAGACATTCACCAGTATTGTGATGCTGCCATGTTAAGACATTCACCAGTACAGTGACACAGCCATGTTAAGACATTCACCAGTACAGTGACACCGCCATAAGACATTCACCAGTACAGTGACACCGCCATAAGACATTCACCAGTACAGTGACATCGCCATAAGACATTCACCAGTACAGTGACACTGCCATGTTAAGACATTCACCAGTACAGTGACACCGCCATAAGACATTCACCAGTACAGTGACACCGCCATAAGACATTCACCAGTACAGTGACACCGCCATAAGACATTCACCTGTACAGTGACACCGCCATAAGACATTCACCAGTGTTGTGACACCGCCATAAGACATTCACCAGTACAGTAACACCGCCATAAGACATTCACCAGTACAGTGACACCGCCATAAGACATTCACCAGTACAGTGACATTGCCATGTTAAGACATTCACCAGTACAGTGACACCGCCATAAGACATTCACCAGTACAGTGACACCGCCATAAGACATTCACCTGTGTTGTGACACTGCCATGTTAAGACATTCACCAGTACAGTGACACCGCCATAAGATATTCACCAGTACAGTGACACCGCCATAAGACATTCACCAGTACAGTGACACCGCCATAAGACATTCACCAGTATTGTGACACCGCCATAAGACATCCACTAGTATTGTCTCCCAGATAGCAGCCCAAATATAATTACAGTTAATCATGATATTTATGTGAAAAATGCAAGTATCCCTTGCTTGTATTAATCAAGTGACACATTATTATCTGGACATGTTGGAGATTATTGTCCCAAAAGGTGCTAATACCAAGCTACTCGTTTTAATTTCATCACACATTTCTGGCCATGGGTCGGCACTCACATTGACTTAGGGGCTAGGTTTGACACTCTCATTGGTGTAGTAGCTGGGGTGGGCACTCACATTGACTTAGGGGCTAGGTTTGACACTCTCATTGGTGTAGTAGCTGGGGGTCGGCACTCACATTGAGTTAGGGGCTAGGTTTGACACTCTCATTGGTGAAGTAGCTGGGGGTCGGCACTCACATTGACTTAGGGGCCAGGTTTGACGCTCTCATTGGTGTAGTAGCTGGGGGTCGGCACTCACATTGACTTAGGGGCTAGGTTTGACACTCTCATTGGTATAGTGGCTGGGGGTCGGCACTCACATTGACTTAGGGGCTAGGTTTGACACTCTCATTGGTGTAGTAGCTGGGGGTCAGCACTCACATTGACTTAGGGGCCAGGTTTAACACTCTCATTGGTGTAGTAGCTGGGGGTCGGCACTCACATTGACTTAGGGGCTAGGTTTGACACTCTCATTGGTGTAGTGGCTGGGGGTCGGCACTCACATTGACTTAGGGGCTAGGTTTGACACTCTCATTGGTGTAGTAGCTAGGGGTCGGCACTCACATTGACTTAGGGGCTAGGTTTGACACTCTTACTGGTGTAGTAGCTGGGGGTCGGCACTCACATTGACTTAGGGGCTAGGTTTGACGCTCTCATATGTGTAGCGGCAGGGGGTCGGCACTCACATTGACTTAGGGGCTAGGTTTGACACTCTCATTGGTGTAGTAGCTGGGGGTCGGCACTCACATTGACTTAGGGGCTAGGTTTGACACTCTTATTGGTGTAGTAGCTGGGGGGTCGGCACTCACATTGACTTAGGGGCTAGGTTTGACACTCTCATGGGTGTAGTAGCTGGGGGTCGGCACTCACATTGACTTAGGGGCTAGGTTTGACGCTCTTATTGGTGTAGTAGCTGGAAGTCGGCACTCACATTGACTTAGGGACTAGGTTTGACGCTCTCATTGGTGTAGTAGCTGGGGGTCAGGACTCACATTGACTTAGGGGCTAGGTTTGACACTCTCATTGGTGTAGTAGCTGGGGGTCGGCACTCACATTGACTTAGGGGCTAGGTTTGACACTCTCATTGGTGTAGTGGCTGGGGGTCAGCACTCACATTGACTTAGGGGCCAGGTTTGACACTCTCATTGGTGTAGAAGCTGGGGGTCGGCACTCACATTGACTAAGGGGCTAGGTTTGACACTCTCATTGGTGTAGTGGCTGGGGGTCAGCACTCACATTGACTTAGGGGCTAGGTTTGACACTCTCATTGGTGTAGTAGCTTGGGGTCGGCACTCACATTCATTAAGTACATGACTTACAGTATTCACAATCTATACATGGGAGAAATAGCATCGACAATCATGTACAAAAACAACAACATGCATTCACTCGAGGCAGACTCACTGGTGTTGGACAACTGGGAGATTTAATCTATTTCTCTCCTGCAATGACTCACAGCCATGTGACAAGTCAGACTCAGTGTCTGCAGCCAACACTCTTTATCACCTTCCCATCTTTCAAGTCACATCCCATTCTTTCTGTATCATTATGTTTCTGAACAGACCCAGCAAAAAGGTGGAAGACACAAGACTAATGAAGAGTCAGGAACATCTTGCCACTGGCCATTTGTCATGTCGCATGTGTACAGAGTAAGGACACCATAGTCATGCAGGCCATCCCCCAGCAGTACACCACCATAAACCTCCAGCCTGGAGTTCCACTGCTTGACAAATAATGTCCGCAAGACAGTGTATATTCCTGTAACGCTCATGGAATCAATAAAGGCTAAAACAGAAGACAACTTTGCTATTTTCATGTTCAGAGAACAAAGCGACTTTAATTGTGTAACTGATAATGTGTAAGCAAGCAGGGTTTGTTTGTGTCTCCCTTACTGGGCTCAGGGCACTCCAAGGTTCTCTTGTGGTGCTGTTCCTGATGACGTAGTCTGTCTCACAGTCCCTGAACCATATTATTTTCCCTTCAACCAAGCCCTTACTGTTATTCCACAGGCCTACACAAAGCAAGTCTCGATTTTCCACTGGTTTTAGGTTCTGAAATCTCCCATCTCACATGGGTTCATTTCAATTAAAATGGAGTTTTTTGTTTCCATCAAAATTATATATTTTCAGATGGTGTTCCATCATCCTGCTTGTCCAGGGCTAGACAATGCAGCTGAGACAACATGACCATACAGAGTTTGAAATTAAGCAGGGGCGGTGGGGTAGCCTAGTGGTTAAAGGGTTCACTCGTCACGCCGAAGATTCCCCACATAGCTACAATGTGAGAAGCCCATTTCTAGTGTCCCGTGGTGTATTGCTGGAATATTGCTAATAGCAGCGTAAAACAATACTCACTCACTCATTCACTTGAAATAAAGCATGAAAGTCATGGAGTCCTGATCATAATCCTTATGTCAAACTTAAAGATTTAGAGGTGAAATACGACAGAAGATATCAAGGAACAGAGGGCACCCTTAAACTGTGACTGCCGTGTATTACAATTTACTGAACTCAATTCAAAAGAAAATGAACATCAATCAAGAGCCTAAAATAACTGAGCATTAAAAAGGTTTTTTTTTCAGTCAATATTAGCCTTGATTTACTGTCACGTTACTTCCTCAATCATTCAAACAGACAGGCATTGGTTAAAAACAACATTCTGTCCACCTAAAGAAGTTTATGCATGGTTCGTTTTAGTTTCATGCATTTGAAGTAAACTTTTTAACTGCACCAGGAGGGTCTGGTTTCATTCTTAATGAATTCCTAATCTGATTTTGAATCCTGGACAGACATGTGACTGATGAGTTCTTCCACAGAGAATTAACATGTTGTTCTCTGCTATTTGCTGTCTGTATAACGCCTCACTCAGAACATTCCAGCCATATGACGACATGTGTAAAATAATCAAATCTGAACCAGAAAATCCAATGATGGATATTATGAACATCAATCCTT